GTTTTTTTTGTAATGTGTGTAATATATAGATATAGATGTAATTTGTGATATATATTTATATATATATATATATATATATATATATATTAAATAAATGTTATTATTCCACGTTTCTTTTGATTTATTTTTGCTTCTTCTTTGAATAAAGATAGGACTAGGCACTTAGATTCCAGTATTTCATATTGTTTACGTGTTTTTTTGCTACTACTTTGTTTCTTGACAATTTAATTTTTGAACTATCAACCTATAAAGCTTTATACTAGTTGTCTTTTTTTTTTTAATGTGCAGCTATCGATCTAGTCAGGATGATCGTTTTGCATCCTCATGGGGCAAGTCTACTTATCAAGCATGCAGAAAACAACGGTATTAATCTTTCTATTTGGTAACAATTATCCTTGAAGCTTCTGTCTCAAATCCGGTTGCAGTTTATGGGTGGGCATGGGTCGGGTATCCGGCCTCGGTCTCGCCCCCATGGGTTTTATGACCAAAGTATCTCGGTCTCAGCTGGTACCTGAACCCGTGAAAACCTGCAATTTTTTCTTGACCGTCAGGGGTATAATGATAAATTCAATAGATATTATTGTAGTATAGCTGTCATTTTCAAGCCCATGAAATGATGGCAAAACCCAAACCCGAGCCTGCGGTCAGGCTCCTCGTCTCGCCCCACCCATGCTCAGCCTCGTGGCTGCCGAGCAAACCCTCGGGTATCGGGTTTCATTTTCCTTCCAACTAAATGCAACATATTCTCTGTAGTCAATGTATCTAAATAAAACGAAAGTTTATTTACAAGGGTTGTTTTCTTCTAGTATTATACGTTAACTTCCATCTTCGCTCTTAAATTACGCAGACCTGCTTTTGGGTACGATCAAGAAAGTTACGGAGGATCCTGTTCTTCCTGCAAATCTTTTGACCTGTGTTCGTGTCATTGTCAACCTCTTCAAGAATTTGTCGTTTCACAACTGGCTCCAGGGGCATCATAGTCAAGTAAGTACTTTTTCAGTTCATACTCAGGGGTGGGCATTTCAAGTTTTTCGGTTTTTAGCGGTTCGGTTAAGAACTGTTTATTTAGTTTTAAAAAATTTGTACCAAATTAGAACTATATGTTATTCGGTTCAGAACAGTTTTATTATGTGAGAACCACCTAGGAACCAAAACTTGATTCTGGTTACTCATCTGTTTAATGTTCTGCCGATTTTGCAGATTCTCGACGCCTTTGCGAATTGTTATTCTTCTCCGAATAGGAATCTTCTATTAGCTTATTCGACTTTGTTACTCAAGTAAGTCTCGCTTCTTGAAAATAGATAAATGCATTCACTATGTATAAATTATTCGAGAAATGCAATGCGTAATGCGCGGGCTCGGGGTTTCTGTTGAGGTTTTCCCGACTACAGAATCATCAAAGCATTGTGATCTATACTTTTCTTATCGTGTCTTCTCAGTTATGCGGTACTACTAATCGAGAAGAAGGATGAAGAGGGTCAAGCTCAAGTCCTTTCAGCAGCGATGCAGGTGCGCGTAAATGTGTCATTTTCCCACCGTGCATGCATGATGCATCTGACTATTTTGTTTCGGGTTAATGAAAAACTAAACAGATCCGAACTGAATTCAATATAAAAGCCGAATGTGTATTTTTTTTTCCCTAAAACCATACAAACCGAACCTAAGTTATAACCAAATATAAAAATAACCGAAAAATCTGTAGATTTTTCAATAAAAACCGAACTGAACCAAACCCGATAGAAATACTGAATGGGTATGTTTTTCTAAACCTGAAATGGCCACCCTAACTTACCCAAACGGAACCTAAACCAAAACCCGAAACGGCCACCCTATTTGTTGTCTCTTGAACTGCATATCGAACAGCAAACTGACTTTGATTTGCCCAAATAATTTCTTGCATTGCTCATTGTAGATTAGATAATTTTCGAGATAAAGCCCATTTCCATTGTTTTATTTTATCTAGTATCTGCATCTTTGCCCTAGTTTTCATTTCACTGAAAACCAAGAAAACGATGGAACAGATTGTGGAAGAGGAAGCTGCAGACGCTGATTCCAAGTTCCGAGCTTTGGTAGCCATTGGGTCACTGGTTAGTTCTCGTTTAAATTCTGAGAAACAAACAGTTTCTTCTCGTTTAAATTTCGTGGTATTCGGTAATAAGTAATTTCTGCTGCTGACAGATGCTCGAAGGTCTCGTGAAGAAAATAGCGTTAGATTTCGACGTCGGGAACATTGCGAAAGCTGCAAAAGCTTCAAAGGAGACAAAGATTGCGGAAGTTGGATCGGATATCGACAGTCTAATTCGTCAGTAAGGTCTCCAATGATCTGCATTTCTACCCTGTTTTGGTCGTTCGGATGTATGTTGGTTCGTTTTCTTGTTGGCCAAGGAATCGTTTGGTTATGACGCAAGGCAGAGATGCTAATTGAGCTTCAGATTTCTGAGACCCTTATAACATGATGCTGTTCAGATTACAGGCATAGGCAATGGGTATATGAATATGGTTTTAAAAGGGCTTAATTCTGCGGATTTGATGATGCATTCTCTCATGTGTTCTGTTATCATAATCCTCCTATTTTTCAAATCTCTAAGCCATTTGTTCGGTTTTCCCTCTGGTTGTAAGCAAATTTTCCATTCTGATTCTGCATTTACTAGTTTCTTTGGTTTAGACACGAGCAATCAAGAATCGTACAAGGAGATTGTTTACATGACTTACGTTTTAAGTGTTGGATTTGCTTCGGTTTCGGTCGGGTTCCCAAGATTTTTGGGGTACTGGGCCTTGGCCCCGTCTCCATGAACGAAGTATCTCGATCTCGACTTCTGGAGATTCGGGTACCTGCAGTTGATGGTTGGTCTATGAGCATCCGAACCCACGAAAATCTGTAAATTTTTATTGATACAACTTGTTCATTTAGAGATTAATGATAATTTTGGACAAAAATAGACATATATTAGTGTAATTACTCTAAAACACGCCATATATAAAACGTCATTTTGCACGTTGGAGTACCTAGGTTTCTCATCTCATCCCACCCGTGCATGCTCGGCCTCTCGTTCGTTACCGAGTACCCGCAAACCCACGGGTATAGGGTTTTCACGCCCACCTCTACCCGAAGATTCTTACCTAATTTCTTTAAACTTTTTCCAAATGCCCATGTATGCATGGGATTAGACATACCCATTTGAAACAAAACTCCTTCAGACCATTCCCCTTATGTCTTGTAATTCTTCAAACTGAGTAAAAGAAGATCGACTTAGCAATGGGACCACACTATATACATAGCAGTAATGGCAACAAAGCGTAGACTTTCTATTTATATCCCTTTGGGGACGAATCTTTATGACATAAGTGGAAACTATGTAATGTTTTTTGGTGTCTTTCACTGTACCTCTCTGATGTCTTCTGATGTGCATTTTCACGTTCCCATGGTTTCTCTCTTCTTCATAAACGGAACCTCCCTCTCATGAAATCGCCATTCATTACAAAACACAGTTTTTTGTTTTCTGAAACTCTTCAAAAGCTTCTCCTTTTCTTCAACAAGTGCAAGGCAATAATGGCAAAGGTACCAGGATACATGCATACTTACATACATGCATACATACATACATCAGGTTTTGTTTACAATGATATGATTTGTGAATCTGAAGATGGGTATTTGAAGGCTATGAGCATTTTACACACAGACACACACACGCGCACATATGATATGTGAATCTGGAAATGGGTATCGAAATTGTTAAGCAGGTTATAGTGATGAAGGTGCACATGAGGTGCGAGAGATGCAGGACCCTGGCTCTCAAGACTGCGGCAAAAGCATACGGTAATATATATCTTCCCAAACTCAAACACATGATTTCAGGAAAAAATTAATCAGAAAGAGAAAAATGCGGAGCAGGAGTGACGTCAGTGCGTTTGGCGGGAGAAGATCGGGAGAGAGTGATAGTGGAAGGGGACAGAGTGGACGCTGTGGATGTCGCCAAGTCCCTGAGGAAGAATGTTGGATTCACTCAGATCCTCTCTGTTTACGATCTCTAAGATCTCTCTCATCTGATGTTTTATCATTACAGTTGTTGTTTCAGAGATTCTTAAGATGTTTTTTCAGTATCTGAAAATCCGTTTATATACTTTTAATATGCTTAATTTCTGCAACCTCCAACACCCATTTGCTCTTTTCTCGTTCTGGTGGTGATGATGATGAGTGGGCTCTAATGGTTTCAGTTTTGAGATCTTTTCCTCGTTCATTTTAGAAGTTTTGGGTCAAGTTGATACAAAATAAACTTTGGGGTGAAATATGATATAGAATAATGTTTGGGGGACAAATATGGAGATAAAAAGTTTCAGGGAAGCTAAATGATAAGCCTGCCGTCGTTTACCCCAAAACCCAGGAGAATGAAAAACCCTAGACGGGAAGAACTCAAGTGTTCTCTCCGATCAATCTCTCTCCAGAGCTTAGTTCGCGATTTTCTAGGGTTCTTCGCCGGAAAATGAAGCCGGTGGTAGGAACTGTGGTGTCGAACAAGATGCAGAAGTCGGTGGTGGTCGCCGTCGATAGGCTCTTCCACCACAGGGTCTATAACCGCTACGTCAAGCGCACTTCCAAGTTCATGGCTCACGACGAAAACAATCTCTGCAACATCGGCGATCGAGTAAATCTCCTCTTCATTTAGATCTCTGTAGAAGTCTCGAATCAGTTTACTTGGGCAAAAAAAAAAAAAAAAAAAAACAATTTAGAGAACAGACTCAATGCTTTTGTCCCCTTAACGTTCTTTACAGTTTTTGTTTTGGTTATTATGTGATGAACATTGAAATGCCCAGGAAGGACAGATTCTATACATACGGTAAAATGTTTGAAACTTTCTAGACATTAAGGGAAGTTTGTGAATTACTTGTTCAATTTAATACAACCTGTCAGCATTTTATCAATTTTAATCTTCAAAATTCGATGTCAATTGGAGGAAATCCCGAATTTTATATTCTGTCAGAATCTAGGATGATGCTTTATGTATTTTTCATCTATGCCCTGCTATCAGACGTTTGTGTTTTTATGCCACAAAGGAATAAGCATTACAAATGTGTAGTCTCTTACTTGGATTTGGGTGAGAAAGCTCTTCAAGGCCACCGGGATGGTTAAAAATGCAGGTGAAATTGGATCCTTCGAGGCCATTGAGCAAGCGTAAGCATTGGGCCGTTGCCGAAATCCTCAAGAAAGCTCGGATATTTTCTCCCGAGGCTGTTGCTTCAGCTCTCAATTCGTCGGCAGCTGGCACTTCCTCCGCCTCTGCTACCCATTCCCAGACTTCCCCGCCTTCCTCTTCCTAAGGTGATGATTATGCCAATCTTGCGCGTTAAATGTATCAAAACATCTCTTTTTGAATCCTGGTTGCTAGTTAATTCTTATTTCTACAACCTCGTTTGTCTCTAAAGAAATTTAACTCTAGTTCCTGAAACTACACTGCTCTATTTGGCAGATGATGGTGGGTTTCAAGATTACACTGGACATCTGGAGAGGTTAAGTTTAGAGTTGCTTGCTTGGCATGGCAAGGTAACACTGGCCATTCCAAAGCGGTTCTTGGTTGATGATGATTATTATTTTATTGAAATAAATCGTGAGAGTTTGAGATAGAGAAGCATGCAGTCGGCCTTGATGGTTAACAATCAGTCCTTGATCAAATGGATGAAGTTTTGCCATGGCTCATGAAATCTTGCGACACAAGTAAATTCCGGGGATGTGCCTTGGATCTACCTCTCTTCTTCACACGTGTACAGTCTTCTGGGATAATGTAACAGTTTTCATTAAAAAAAAAAAAAAAAACTATGCAAAATCGCCTGGGGGCGCATTCATGAGGGAAAATCACACGAAATAATCAAATGGGTCGCAAGGATTTTTCAGATGCATCTAAAAAAAACTGCCCAATCTACTTAGCATATGATAAACCTCATTTGGTGTAAAATTATTAAAATATCCAAAAATGTAAAATGACTCAAATATAGTAATTAAAATAAACAAATTTTCAATTAAAAAATGAGGCAAAATTAGGACAAAATAAATGCAACTTTGTCTCTCCGTCTTGGTTTTATTGAGCTTTTCTATGTGTTTTTGTCCGTGTGAAACCGAAATCAACCAGTATTTCATTGGGATCAAGATCCATTTATTATTTTGTCTTATTTTATATTATGGAGTTCCATTTTTTAAGATGAGTAACTATAAACAACAGTTTGGAAAAATGTTCTCTCATATATTGCATAATGAAATATATAAGATATAAATACAAGAGTATGTGCAACAAATGAAGAAACTAATTTACACAAAACAATGGATTTGATAGAGCGAATCATATTAGGAAACTATCATTCCTTTATGCCCCCGCAAGATGAGGCTCGTGTGCGAGACTAATCTTGTGCCGGAGAAGATCAAAACGAGCTCGAAGAAGCGGTTTTGTCAGCCCATCCGCTAGTTGATCATGTGAAGAGACATGGGAGACATGGAGGTAGCCATCTTGAACTAAACTGCGGATAAAGTGATAATCTATGGCGACATGCTTCATACGTGAGTGAAAAACGAGGTTTGCACATAAATATGTCGCACCCACGTTGTCACAAAGAATAACCGGTGCCGAGGGAAGCTTGATACCAAGTTCAGTGAGAAATGAAGTGAGCCACCTAACTTCGGCAGCTGTAGAGGCCACAGATTTGTACTCGGATTTCGTGAAAGCTCGAACTGCAATACGTTGCTTCTTTGAAGACCATGAGATCGGGTGGTTACCTAGGTACATAATGTGGGCACTTGTGGAGGTGAAATCATCGCGGTTGCCTCCCCAATCTGCATCGGAGTAGGCTCAAAGTGTGAGAGAGTTGACAGTTAACATGAAGACTCCGAGAGAGGGCGAGCCAACAAGGTAATGAAGGACCCTTTTAACGGATTGCCAGTGGTCGGCATGGGGGATGCATGAATTGTGATAGCTTATTCACTGCAAAGGCGATGTCCGGCTTAGTGAATTGAAGATATTGTAAGCTCCCGACAACATTCCGATATTCGGTGGGATCCTCTAATGGTAAGCCGGCAGTTAAGGTCTGGGACGAAGTCGACGCCATCGGAGTAGAGACTGGTTTAGCTTGGTGCATGTTTAGCCGCTGGAGAAGATCTAGAATATACCTCCTTTGTGTCAGATATAGTCCTTTGGTTGAGCGTGTGCATTCAACACCAAGAAAAAAATGATAAGTTGCCAAGGTCTTTGATCGAGAATCTGTCTGTGAGCATGGTGATGAATTGCTGTAGTCGACGGGGATCATTTCCGATGAGACAATGTCGTCTACATAGACCAAGAGATAAAGAACGACATCACCTTCCCGGAATATAAACAATGAGGTGTCGGACATTGAGTTGTGAAGCCGGAGGAGAGAAGGAATTGTCGTAGCTCGTTGTACTAAGCTCGGGGAGCTTGTTTAAGTCCATAGATAGCTCGATGAAGCTTGCACATGTGTAGGACGGTCATTGTCAACAAACCCGGGAGGTTGTGTCATAAAGACGTTATCATGCAACCGACCTTGTAAGAAAGCATTGTTGACGTCGAGTTGTCGTAAGGACCAGCCATTGGTGACAGCAATGCTTAGTACAAGACGCACCGTGGCGGGTTTGATAACGGGGCTAAACGTGTCATGATAGTCGATCCCGGGTCTTTGGTGGAAACCCTTCGCCACAAGCTTGCTTTACACCTGTCAAAAGAACCATCAACATTACGTTTAGTCTGATATACCCACTTACACCCAACAATATTGTGAGTCGTGTCCGGTGGAACCAATTCCCAAGTCTCATTCTTGATGAGAGCATCAAACTCTTCAGTCATGGCTTGTCGCCATTGCGGAGATTTGAGAGCTTGAGAGACGGTTCTCGGTTCTGTTTCGGATGGAGGGATCGTGATGATGGTATTGGCGTATTTGGTCGAAGGTTTGGTAATGTTGTTCTTTGAACGAGTTGTCATCGGATGACGGTTGTTTGGGGCGGAAGGTTCGGGTGGTGCGGTTTGTGTGTCCGGTGGTGATGAGATTGTGTTTGCGGTTTCGGTAGGATTTTTTGGCGTATGATCATAGTGTGGGCTCGGTGGTGCAGACTGTGTAAGGGACAAGCGTCGGCGTTTCTGGTGGTAGGGGAGACGGCGAAGAATCTATTCGCAGGGACAGCGAAACCGTTGGTGGCGTGGTGAGTGACCGAGTAGGGATCACTGTGTATGGTGGTAGAGTTCTCGGTGGATGGGAATCTGTGGGTGACGAACTGTCAGAGGGTGATATGAGTCGAGCAAAAGGACAAGAGGACTCGAAAAAGGTTACATGGAGAGACGAGAAAACACGCGAGGTTCTCAGTTCTAGGCAGAGAAACGAGCTTTGGATTAATGAATAACCTACAAATACACAAGGGGTGGATCTAGGATCAAGCTTATGATGTGAGTACGGTCTTAGCCATGGGTAACAAAGGAACCCGAACGTACGAAGTTTCGTATAATTCGGTGAGGAAGAGAAAAGGGCCTTCTAAGGAGACGTATGGTTAAGGAGTTTGGTCGGTAGTCGATTGATGAGATACACGGCGGTGGAAAAAGCAAAACTCCAGTAAGAAAGAGGGATGGAGGCTTGCGATAAAAGAGATAATGTGATAGCCCAGGATACCGTAGAAGGTCGAGCGGGGAATGATCGCCGGTGCGAGAGGCACGAATAAGAAGCAGCTCCTAACGAGCTTCTAGGTAGGGGTACATGGATGAATCGAACGCACCGGAATAAGAGGGATCCGAGGGCTGTGTAGGTATGGGATTACACAGTCTAAGATAACTTAAAGGAATTAATTGAGCTACTTATAGCAACAAGATGTATCTATCTTTTCGGTTGCCTATCTTGAGAGAACTCCAAAGTTAAGCGTGCTGGCCTTGGAGTAGTTTTAGGATGGGTGACCTCTTGGGAAGTACTTTCCGGGATGTGTGCGAGTGAGGACAAAGCACGCTAAAAGGTCCCGTGTTGGTGTGTGGAAACAACTCTATCATTCCGTAGCGGTCTTCGATCGTTAAAATAGTATCAGAGTCGGTTCTTTCCCAGTACGGTGTGGTTCGAGGACGAACCAGGCGGAAGCTGGCGGGTCTGTGACAACCCAGGATACCGTAAGAGGGCGGAGAGTGATCGCCGGTGCGAGAGGCACGGACAAGGAGCAGCTCCTGACAAGCTTCTAGGTAAGGGGTATAGAGATGAATCGAACACACCGGAATGAGAGGGATCCGAAGGTTGTGTAGGTATAGGACTACACAGTCTAAGATAACTTAAAAGAATTAATTGAGCTATTTATAGCAACAAGATGCATCTATCTTTTCGGTTGCCTATCTCAAGAAAACTCCAAAGTTAAGCATGGTGACCTTGGAGTAGTCTTAGGATGAGTGACCTCCTGGGAAGTACTTTTCCGGGATGTGTGCGAGTGAGGACAAAGCACGCTAAAAGGTCTCGTGTTGGTGTGTGGGGACAGCTCTATCATTCCGTAGCGGTCTCGGGTCGTTACAGATACGCCCGATTCCATGATGTGTCGGTGTTTTCTCTCCGAGATGCCGTTATGCTACGTGGTGTGGTGAGATGAGTAATGCCATTAGTCGAGAGAAAAGAGCGGAGAGCAATGTATTCTCCTCCGTTGTCGGAGTAGAGATATTGCATTTTGACATTAAAACGATTTTCGACCAATGACTTGAACCGTGGAAAGATTTCAAGAAGTTGTGATTTTCGTTTGATCGGATAAAACCAAGTGTACCTTGTGAAATGATCAACGAAAATTACATAGTACTTAAAATCATCGAACGAGAGTACGGGTGAAGTCCATACATCCGAGAAAATAATTTCAAAAGGACGAGACGATTTGATAGTAGAAACTGAGAATGGAAGTATATGACTCTTATTGATAACATGACTCACATATAACAATTCTTTTGAAGACTTAGGAGACAAAGGAAGACCTATCTGACGCTATACATTTGGTCAATATTGGCAGGTTACAATGTCAGCAGTGATAGGAGACCCATCTGAGGTTGTACCTTCGGTCGACATTGACAGGTTAGAGGACAAGGCGAAAGGAAAAGAAATGAGATTAGGGTTGTCGATGAGACTTAAATCTCTGATACCATAAACAACAGTTTGGAAAAATGTTCTCTCGTATATTGCATAATTAAAAAAAATACAGGATAGAAATACAAGAGTATGTGGAACAAATGAGGAAACTGATTTGCACAAAACAAGGGATTTGATAGAGCGAATCATATTAGGAAGATATCTTTCCTTTAAACTATAGTTTTGTAGGGAATTTCTAATTTTATGGAACTATATAGAAAATGTCAAACCAGATTCGTAGTGTAGTCAACCTATGTTGACGGTAGTTGTAGTATCTAAGTGGTTAGGATTTTGTTGTAGTAGAAGATCTGATTTTGGTTGATAAATAGAATCATATTGTTATGACGACTATTTACGTTTTTAACATGATGGGGCGACTGGTTGCGTCGCCGCCACCCGCAAACGGAGCGATTGTGATTTCTGGCGATTAGAGCGATTGAAAAACTGATTGGTTGAACCGCAATCACCTTACTCGCAACCAAACTTTTGTTTTCTAATCGCAACTTTTAACTTGTGTTTTGGTAACGGTTTTCGGCGTTTTGAAAAAAAAAAACTAAAATATCTTTACTAAAAATTATATAAAATACTAATATATATATATATATATTGGTGATGATTTTATTTATTGTTATGATTTGATATTATTTTCTAGTATTATATTTTAATAAAAAATACAATAGTATAATT